ACAAGAACGCTACCAGCAGGGGCTCCTGGCATCGCTACTAGGAGCAAAGGGCATCGCTACTAGGAACAAGAACGCTACTAGGGGCTCCTGGCATCGCTACTAGGAGCAGGAAGCTACTAGTGACAAAGGGCATCGCTACTAGGAGCAAGAACGCTACTAGGGGCTCCTGGCATCGCTACTAGGAGCAAGAAGCTACTAGTAACAAAGGGCATCGCTACCAGGAACAAGAACGCTACCAGCAGGGGCTCCTGGCATCGCTACTAGGAGCAAAGGGCATCGCTACTAGGAACAAAGGGCATCGCCAAGTCATTACCGCCGTCACTCCACGGTGTCTGCAGTCTTTTTGGACGGTATCGTCACATCGTCATGAACCGACATGAAGCAACAAACATCAAACCAAGAAGCCAGGAAATGTGACAAGAAAGGTTGAAGGAAGGACCAAAGAAAGGTCTCGAGTCTAAGGTCTTAAGAAAGAAAGAAAAGAGAGTGGACGAAAAGAAATAAATCCAGGAAGAAAGAAACCTAATAGGGATGGCCTTCAACCTAATAGCAATGTCCTCCAACCTTCTAGCGATGGCCTCCACCCCAATAGGGTAGGTTAAAAAAACAAGGCAGAAACAAAAGGAGGAAACACAAATATCTGTCTGAAGGTCTCGCAAAGCTCGGCTCGAGACATCAATGAGCCTTCCTGGAGTGCCAACCAAGAGCTCAGCTCCTCGGACGTTGGACTCACGTGAGTGAAACCAACTCGCGTACAGCATTTTTTTACCAAATAGCGATGGCCTCCGACCTAATAGCAATGGCCGGCCTACACCCTAATAGCGATGGCCTCCAACCCAATAGGGATGGCCTCCAACCCAATAGCGATGGCCTACACCCAAATAAAGATGGCCTCCACCCAATAGCGAGGCCTCGAACCTACTTGTAAACAAATCCAACCTAATAGCAATGGCCTCCATCCTAGTAGCGATGGCCTGCACCCTAATAGGAATGGCCTTCAACCTAGTTTGTTCACGCTTCGTACTTTGGGTGCTTTGTGTCTTGGGGTCTGTTTTATGGTGGCGGGAGAAACAATGTCTCTCTCTCTCTCTATATATAAATAATATATATGTCTCTACACGTCTGCTCTTTGCAGGACATTGTAGATACTTCCTTTCTTGATTGGAGGCCATCGCTACTGGGTTGGAGGCCATCGCTAGTAGGTTGGAGACCATTCCTAGTAGGTAGATACTTCCTTTCTTGCTTCTCAATCTTTTGCCTTTCAGTTTCATCGCCCGTTGTGAGATCGAAGCCACCTGCGCCGCCTCCCGCTGGCATCACCCCGATTCGTCCTTTCTTCAGCGCCGAGAGCTGTTCACCCATGGGCCCACCGCCATAGGCGCAAACGCTCGTGAGGTTCACCGCCTCAGTAGCCCGTTGAAGGTGGACCCGCAGGAGGCCCAATTGGATTGAGGGTCAGAGTGAACCAAAAGTAGCTATAGACTATATAGACCACTAGCGATATATAAAAACAACCTTTAGCATCTGTTATCTACTTTGTGTAAAGGGGTTTGGGATGAGCTTTGTCACCTGCCTCTCTTCTTTTTGTGTGGGTTCAGCGAGTGCACGGTGAGGAGTTGGCTCAAGAACGGCTTTTGACCATGTGCCTCAATGTGAAATCAATCGCGAACACTCCACATGCTCTACCCGACAAGCATGCTGCCACTACATGCCGAAGATGGTGATGCTGGCTTTGCTCTTTTTTCCGTTTGCCATGACAAAGGTCCAAGACTTGTGTGTTCGTTCTAAGGATCCCCAGCCCAGTGCGCTAGCTAGCTTTCATTCTTTCCATGTGCCAATCCGCACACCAGTGGGTCAGTCCTTACCAAACTTTGAACCTCTCCGTGAACATCCCCAAATCCCCTCTACTAGCAAGCAAACTGTTTGATGATGTCGCATTCATGCCTTCACACGGAGGATGGACCAAATCCTATTCATGCTCCCTCTTTGGGTTTTTCAAAAACAAACTGGAGTGATGCAGGATCAGTATGTAGCTGCTGTCACTCCTCAAACCCACCAACTACGAGGACACTTCAAGTGTCTGTCCCTTCCGCCGCACGGTTCCGCCTTGCAAAAGGTGTTGGCCTCTCGCTGGATCTGCAGCGCTAGCTCACGTGTGGGCGCCACCTGAGACCCGTCTTCCTATTAGGTTGCGAGGCCATTGCTACTAGTAACACGGGCATCGCTACTAGTAGCAAGAACGCTACTAGTAGCTCCTGGCCGCACTACTAGTAGCAAGGGCGCTTCTAGGTTGGAGGCCATCGCTCTTTTGTCCGAGGACCGAGCCTCCCACTCGTGGATTTGCGGGTCCGGGTCATGGGTACATCGCTTGGCGGAAGCACTGGATGTCAGAATAAAGCACCGCCATTTGGGTGAACAGGCGAAGCCACATAGGTGACTAAATGTTAGGTAGCTTCCAGGCTTCTTGTTGCTAGTAACAATGGCCTCCAACCTACTACCTTCTTGTTACTAGTAGCTACATGTTACTACCCAGTCAAAGCAGAAGATGCGGCCCGCCCTAGGCCATGGCTTTTGGTGTGCAATCCGGTTTATTCCAATCACAACAAGAAGCTACTAGGTTGGAGGCCATCGCTACTAGTGACAAGAAGCTACTAGTAGCTCCTGGTCCCAAACCTGGTGCTTCTTCCTTTCCGAATAGCCACACACCTTCGGTCCTTTGGTGGTTCTTTCGTTTTGCAGCTACGAAGTGATATGAGCAAACTCATTTTGTTCCATCTTTCCTCTTTTCTCTTCTTGAGCTTGGTTTTCTTCAGACACTCTTTTCTTTGTAACTCATAGACCTTGTATTGTTTCTTTAGACATTGCTTTCTTTAGACTTTCTTTTTCCCTGGACTTGGTCCTACTTCATTGAAATACCAGGGGTGGGTTGGAATATGGCACGCTTTGCTCTCTTGTAGTCATATTTTCGATCTCCGTTACCTGACCTATGGACGGACACCAGGCGCTCAATTCCCCAGCAGAAACATTTGAACAACCAAGTGTTTCCCGAGCACGAACCTGTAAGTGGACTCGCGAGCACATTGGATGTGTGGAGTATAGAAATGACCACTTGGCCTAAGAAACAGAACATGATTTGAATCTTTAAAACCTGTCGGTCGAGACACCTCACGTTTAGAATGTTAAGTTTCCCCAAAAATCTAGGAACCAAACCATTAGTGCGAGCGTGAGCTATCCTGTAGCTACCTAGCTACTACTAACTACCTTTCCTTTTACTAAGTAGGCGCCTAAGTAGCCAGCTACCTACCTCCTAGCGGCCTACCCCCCCAGACTGAGCACGGAAGAGGTCGAGTCCATCTCGGTCTCCCTTCGTCCCTTGCGTTCCAGGGCGCCACGAAGCCGACGGGCCCGTCGCCGTTGGCGAGGGGCGGTTGGTCCATGATGTGCCTGGTGCGTGAAAGGATCATTCCACTCAAAGAACACAAAAACAATGAACCGTCTTCTTTTGTCTACTTATTATTCATAGGGGCAGAGGATAGGTCGTAGTAAGCTTAAGAGCGGCCAAGCAAGAGGTATGTAGCTACCGAGCTTAAGACATTTCTGCTTGGACACGGGTTCGGGCTTCCTCGAAGAAACGCGATTGGACCTTCCTTAATGATTTGGTTGGATTTGGGAACAAACATGATTGGACCACATGCTGACCGACATGGGTGTTTCCTTTTGTCCAACTATTAGTATCTCCAAAAACCCATGCCTCCTTGTTCATCTACCCCATACCGCCTGCAGGTGTTTGCCTTCTACAGTGGCAACTCACAGATTTAATTTTGGTCACTGACCAACGTGCACCAGCACGCTTATTTCCGTGCTCATTGGTGATGAGTGGCTTCATGAATGCCTTCCGAATGGACTTTTCCACTGGGTCTGAACACCTCATCTTTTTCCTAGCAACTTTGAACGCCTGATCAGGGGCAGCAGGTAGGCGATCGTCTTCCCCGATCCCGTCTGGGCAACACCTGTCGCGTGAAAATCAGGCGAGGCGAGAGGCATCCAAAGAGCACGGAGATGATGAGATGGTTCGTGCCAGTGTGTGAATCTATCTGGAAAAATTCCGTGACATGGTAGGAGTCTGCATGATGATGGCAACAAATGGTTGGAACACTTGGAATCGCAAAGTAGATTGCCACATATTGCCACCTACCCGAACCTGTGGGGGCTCACCTACTTACAACATGGCCCAGGCTATACTATCTGGTTCCATCAAGTCTTGGTTCCAAAGCTCCAAAGTCGGCGTAGAGTCTCTCGAACCTGGATCTTTCTGAAATTCCATTGATTTCCTCCCTCAAAGCCACGGCAGCCCTTTGTCAAAATGCCTTGGACAACGTTTCTTTCAAGTACTTTTAAGTAATTCGATCTTGTTTTTTGGATCTACCTACCTTCTTGATTTCGCCCAACTAAGAAACTACTAGGAGCAAAGGGCATCGCTACTAGGAGCAAGGACGCTACTAGGGGCTCCTGGCCTTACTACTAGGAACAAAAAACTACTTGGCGGATCAACACAGTCCCATGCCCAACACGGCCCAGCCATGGACGGTCAATCGTTGGGCCGCTGGCCGATGACGTCTCGGCCGCACATCAACGCCGGCATGGCCTCTCAGTCCGGCCGAGGCTCAACCAGGCGATGGGGATTTTCTGAAAGCGCTGACTTCTCAGCCCACTGTCGGGTAAGACATGCAAACACCTACAGAAGAACATTTGCTTGTTGAAATAGTACTCCCCCTTTTGAGGCCCTGGACAGCTAGTTACAACTGACATGTAGAAGTTCTCGTCTCCACTGCATTTCTTCTTCAAGCAGAATCGGCGCTGAGCCATTTAGGTAGGGCATATCGCGCGCCCCAACAAGCAGCACCTGCATCTGAATGGGAAAGGGAGTCTCGTACTCTCGCTTCTCCATGATTTTCAGGATCTTCTCCGGGAGCCCACACCTTTGCGGACAGCAGTATTGTGCGCGGTGAAGACTACTTGAAAACACCTGAAAAGCAACAAAACGAAAGCCAGCTTTTTTGTCAACGAGCACGTGGTTGGCCAAAGACAGCATGTTGCCAGGTATAGCACTTCAATTCCCTTTCCCTAAGCCGCTAGATAACCTTGAGAAACGTGCAGCAATCCACAGCTTTGAAGTCTCATTAGTGCTTTGAACTTATACAGGTGTGTAAGAGGTATAGCACAAGAACATTTATACGGACCTAGGGTAGCTACAATTCAGTTAGCACTTCAATTTCCCTTTCCCTAAGCCGCTAGATAACCTGAGAAATGTGCAGCAATCCAGAGCTTATATGTGTGTAAGAGGTTATGCATTCACAGCTGCACGAAGCTACAACACATCGGCCTCGGTAAAACTACACCTTACCATGCAGATGATGCAAATGCAAAAAATTGCATTTCTTACATCACCACCCGCTCAAACATCACAAAAAACACATCCAAAACAACCTCCAAAACCCCCCAGACCTTCTACAGCTGGCGCCTTCTACGAAGGCTAGCTTTCGTACCCTTTTAACTTGTTTGACACCATTTGCCACGCGAAGTACACATCACCCAACTGCAAAATGATGGGATCCCTTTGTCACAGGTCACGGAACTGGCATGACAGGAACCTCTGTGATTTTTTATCGGACCAGGTGACCTGTAGCACCGTAGCATGCTGAAACGGTTCAACAAACACAGGAATTGTGACATGGCCGAAGTATCGGTGTGGAAACAGCCAGATTTGCCTCTCTGTTTGAGTTGGAGGTTTGCAGCTTGGCTTTCGATATTTGTTGGGGGCAACCATTGTACTAGCTAAAGCAACATAACACGGTGAACACATCCAGTATCAGTATGTGTCGCAGGATGCTGGCACTCTGTGACCGCGGATGAATGATCGCCTCGGGTGCAGCCTGGCGCAGCCTCGCCATTTTGGTGAAGCCCACATCGTCCGGAAGTGGAGACACATTTAAAGTCCAACATCATCGATGAGATGATTCATCTCCGGATTAAGAACAAGGGTTGTCTCCTTCTCAGCTCGAAGTCTCCCTTCTGACCCTCTGCGGAAACTCTGTGCTGCCCCGACTGTAGGAAACTCTTCACCGGATGAGGGCATCGCCTCGGGGACATCGCTTGTGACTCAACATCACGGCCAAAAAGAAGACATCAAGATCATCAAGGGCAAGAAAAGGGTAAAAGCAGGTCTAAGTAAAGAAAAAATCAACAGTCTAACTAAAGATAGGCAAGAAAACCACAGAAAAAAGGTGCACACCACAGAAACAAAAGGACACATGAAAATCCATATCCGCATTTCTTTCATCCTTTTGTAGCTACCCAGCTGGAAATTGATGGAGCCATCCCGCCAAGGTCTTCCATCAGATTTTCCCGTGGATCTCGTCCAAGTGCTGCACTGAAGCTCCATAGTTTGAGATGTTGGCTGATCAGAACGTTGGCTTCTTCGCCATCCAAGTGTTTCTACTGAACTTGGCCGTGAATCACACAGGTGTTGATGAACTCTGTATCCCATGCTCTACCCTAGCAACCCTTCTTTTCCGGAGCATCTCCATCGTTCCCTCCATCAAAAGAGCAGCCGACCTACCTACCTTTCTGAGGTCCCCTGCTTGCCCCGCACGGTGATATCTCCATGGGTCCGCCGGAGGTCCTCCACCTTGGCCGCAACTTTCTTTGTTTTTTCAACAAAGGATAGCGATGGCCTCCACCCGGCGATGGCCTCAAAGGACCTGCTGGAAGCGCTTTGACGCTCTATCCGTTCGTTGTTTGCCCCAACAGAACACTGGAGCTGAAAAGGAAGGGAATTCTGTCCAGTGGAGTGCGTGAGAAACCCCGTCGGCCGGAACAGAACACCGAGGGATCCCACCCACCTTGGAACAGCTGTGTTTGCTTGGAACAGGTATTTGTTGACAGGCGTCCTGCAACAAAATGTGATATGCTGGGGCGGAAATTTGCGCTAGAGGACACGCGCGCAGAGGGAACTCCACCCGCGGTTTCCTCAGCGGGATGATTTGCTGTGCAGCCGCGGCGGGTCCATGTCCTATTCCACCGCAATCGAAGAGATGATGTTCTGCCTGCTCTACTTGCTCCTAGTAGTATGGCCAGGAGCTACTAGTAGCTTTTTGTTACTACTAGTAAGGCACTTGTTACTAGAAGCGATGCACTTGTTCCTAGTAGCTTCTTGCTCCTAGTAGTATGGCCAGGAGCCCCTAGTATCAATCTGCCATCTTGCAGAACATCGCCAAGGGTTAGGTGCCCTTCACGGCTCTGGGTCGTGGGAGAGGCCGCTCTGTGCGAGAGGCCGCCGTTTGTGAAGTGGGCTGCAGCACCAAGTGTCTGCCTAGACGCAGACACTGACAGTGACACTATAGTTCTGAAGCCTCCCTGGAAAACGATGACCAGTGTTTCAGCGACGTAGGCTCAGTGGGCTCCGAAGACCATTGTGCAGAGTTTGATGGGCCTTGGTTGATGAATGGGCTGAGTCGGTCTTGGTTTCTTGAGGAGAAGACATTGGTCTGATTTTTGTTCTGGTGATTCGAGGCGGGGATTGCGTCCTCGATTGGGTCGTGGAAGACGGCAAATTATTGTATGGCTCATGACAGTTACTGTCGACATGCCGCAGTGGTCACTGGCACACTATCAAATAGAGGCTGACTATGAAGGAGAGAAACTTGAAACCCACTGATGGGTGACTGATTCCTCTGTAGAAGCTGTGGACGATGCACCAACTCTGTTGGACAGCAACCAGAATGCCAAAAATGTTCTTAGATCAAAGGTTTTGACCGATTCTGCCTGACAAAATTAGAGTCAGTGGAGGCCAAATCGCACACCGCATCGAGCTATTCCTTCGAGTGTCATCTCTCTCACAACCGGAAGACACTCCTCATAGTCACTGAAGCGATCAATAGCATCGTCAATGGGAGGCTTCTTCTTTGTCTTGGTGCTCGTCAATCTGCGCAACAAGGCCTTTGGTTGCATGCTGTTCCGCAGGTCAGCTGGGCATGACGGTGTGACGGTGTGCGGGTCGTTTGCATTGCATCTGAACTGCTTGCATCTCTTTGCCATGCCAAGCTGGAACAATGCGGCTGCCCAAACCTCCAACAATGCGGGTGCCCATCAATTTTGGCGATGAAGACGACAACTGTGCAGATTTTCGACAACTCTTCGAGGTGTTTGGATCAAGGCCACCTGGTGGCCACCTCTCCAATCATCAGCACCTTCGCACCGCACACAATTCCCAACGCTTGGATTTTCTTCCACAAGCAAGGCACGCAATTTTGTGCCTCCATCATTTCTTCATCATTGCCCCACTTTGTTTTGCAATCTCTCATCCTCTTGCATTTGGGGGGACAAGACATGAGGGTAGTAGTAGGATGGGGACATCACGCATTTCTTTTTTGAGGCTCCCTGCCTCCTTACTTCATTTAGTAGGCGCCTACTTAATCAAGTAAGGGAGTAAGCAACATGCTCCTAGTTAGCTTCTAGTAACTGGACGCAGGCAGGACGTCCTCTTGCATCCCTTGGGGTGCCAAGTGGCTTCATGGTCCTTCATGTTGGTGATCTCTTTCACCTGGTGCTGCGAGTCATGCTGTGCCCGGCGCCCTCAGAACTGGGTGGAGGCGCTCTTAGGCTGGAGGCCATCGCTAGTAGGATGGCGGTCATTACTACTAGTAACAAGAAGCTACTAGTTAAGTTTCCATCAAAATCTAAGAACCAAATGATTAGTGCGAGCGCTTCTTCAAGGGCGGCGGGGGGAGCTTCCTTGAAGAAGCGTGAACACACACATATATATATATATGTCGTATTAGGAGAGAGAAGCGGGCTAAAGACAAAAGCATATTCGGACATGACAGCCAACCGCAAGGGATTTGGTGAATCAAGTGCAGGTAGAACTCCCAAAGCGACCAGTAGCGTTTAGCCATGCCCTGGGTTACTAGTAGCTTCTTGTTCCTAGTAGTAATGCCAGGAGCTACTAGTAGCGTCCTTGTTACTCGTACCAAGCATGGGATTCTGTTTAGTTGCTGTATATTGGATTCGGTCAAAATTCGGTGCTGCAGGTGTGGACATTGGCTGTTTCATGCGTCCATCCCTTGAAATCACCATGGTTGCGAGGTGCGAATTGACCCCGGGGAACACCTCTCAGCCAAACGACAAACGAGAACACTCATCTCATCCGAGGAGAGCTTTCCTGCGCGCCTGCACATACAGGTTTTTGCGGAAAGACTTGTAGTCGATCAAGTCATGATTGACCTGCCACTCACCGGTTCCGGCATCGATCAACCAATACCACAAAACGAGCAGACTGAACCAATTTGTCAGTTGTTCGTTTAGTTTTAACGAGCCCGCAGGCGGTTTCCAGCTAGTGGCACATCTTTGGATTCGCTCAACAGTGTGATGCTCCGAAGGAATCATCCCTTGACTTCGAACAACCTCTTCACCCTATTTTGACCATCATACCTAATAGCAAAAAAAACAAAGAGCGATGGCCTCCACATGGCCTCCACCCTACTAGCGATGGCCTCCAACCTGTAGCAAAGATACCCCAAACGTGACCATCATCTGTCCCTAGTTCCAGTCTCGGAGTCCCCGGCTGCAGGAAGGGTCTTCTTGGTGGTGAAGCCTCAGACTTCAACGGAATCAAGGGCCGCAATGGCCACAGGAGTAATTGATATCTCATGAGCTTCTACTTCAGGGCATGTACAACTTCCAAAGGTATAAACTTTCAAAGCTCCAAAACTTGTATTTAATGTGGAAAATCAATCGAAAAATATCCAAAACGAAACGAACACATGAAATCTGAGCAAAGGCGCGCTTCACCAGGTCGAAGTAGGACTCCATTTGCTCTTCACTGGATTGCTCACTCCTGTCGGGAGTAAGCACGTTCTCATCCAAACGTCTCCAAACCTCTTCTGCGCTCTTCAAACCCGAGAACGAACGACTTCAGAACATCTCCCCGGGGAGGCCATCGCTCTTAGGTTGGAGGCCATCGCTACTAGGTTCTTCAAATTCACTAGAAAGACTTCAGAACATCTCCCCGGCATCGGCTGATCTGTTCTCACCCCATGCGCCGCACCTGTCGGGGTCGCTCTCCATCCAATCGCCGTCGCCCTCGCCGAAGCCGTCCCGCGCACGCTTCTTGGCAGCGTCCGCCTTGGCCTCGTCGTGCGGAGAAGGTGGGTGGGCGATGCGACAGACACTGACTGGGTAGCAGAGGGCATCGCTACGAACGGAGCGATCGGACGCTACGAACGGGGCGCTCCTGCCATTACTAGCAAAAGGACGCTACTAGTCACAAATGTAAAGAACAAAGCTGTGCTACTTGGGGGATAACCTTCAGGTGAGATAAACATGAAGCAGTTGTGTTGTGCTTCCATTTCCGCAGAAGATGAGAAGTTTGGACGAGTCGTTTATTCCACTTCTGTGAGCGATTACAATTGGTTCTTTGGTGGGTAGGTTAATCATGCCATATACTGTTGCATTAAAGCAGTGATTCATCTGAGGTACGATCTTCTAAACCTTTTTAGTAGAGACCCCTGATGTAAGAACATCTTCTACGAACATCTTTGATATTTCTGTTCTAGCGTGGCTCGATGCAAACGGAACGCGTCTGAAGTGGCAATATTCCTTGGACGCTGATGCTGCTTCTGATGTTCAGAGAAACTCCACCCTGTTGAAGCTCCTCATCTTGCAAAGTCTCCATGCCAATCCCCTCTGCTTTGAACCCAACGTAGAGGCCCGAAGCTTCCGCTTTTCTCTGAAGGACCGAGGACGCTCCTAGTAGCGATGCTAGGAGCTACTAGTAGCTTCTTGTTCCTAGTAGTAAGGCCAGGAGCCCTAGTAGCGTTCTTTGTTCCTAGTAGCGATGCCCTTTGTTCGTAGTAGCAAATTCTGGCTGACAGCCCTGATTTTTGAAAGCTCCGCCACACAATCTTCGGAACCTCGAATCCACCAGGGCATTTGGATATCCGGACATCAACTCTTGATTGGATTGGATGGGAACCTTGTACGATGACTGGTGTAACCAAGCCAGCAACCCAGTTTTCTCGGAGAGTCCTTATCTACTTCTGAAATCGATGGACACCTCCCAACGAAACACCAAATCACCCTTCAACCCAAAGGTACATTCATGGACTTCCCAAACGTCCAGCCACCTCTGGTTTTCTCGGTGTCTGGCTGAAAGCAGGAAAAACACTGTTTCGTCTACTAGTTAAGTTTCCCTGAAAATCTAGGAATCAAATGATTAGTGCGTGAGCCATCCTGCGTCCAGTTACTAGAAACCAACTTGGTAGCTTGCTAGAGTGTCTGACTTAAGTAGGCAGTCTCTACTTAATTAAATGCCTACTAGGAACAAAGGGCATCGCTACTAGGAGCAAGGACGCTACGAGGAACAAAGGGCATCGCTACTAGGAGCAAGGATGCTCAGTGGGAGAGGGCTCAAAAAGAGGTGTTCAACCATCTCAACCCCACAACGACCTCTTTGGCTTCGTGCCTTGGCTTCCGCCTCTTTGGCCTCCCGTCGCTTCCTCCGCTTCTCCTGGGGCCCGTTTTCTCCTTTGTCTGTCCCTTCAAACGAAAGGATATATTCTAGTAGCTTCTTGCTCCTAGTAGTACGGCCAGGAGCCCCTAGTAGCGTCCTTTGTTCCTAGTAGCGTCCTTGCTAATGCCAGGAGCCCCTGATAGCGTCCTTTATTCCTAGTGGCGATGCCAGGAGCCCCTAGTAGCTTCTTGTAGCTTCTGCATCGAGAGACGGACATATTGAGTTTCCTGATCCATTCTCCTTGATGTAGGAGGTGTGAATGGTCGACAACTCACATCAATGACGAGTGATTTGGTCAGTTGGTAGAAAGAGCTGGTGCAGCTATACCAACTTGGGATACCAAATCCGCCCGCACCGAAGGTGCCGAGGGCGTCAGGGCTCGCATACACATCGCAAGGGAATATATCCGGCTAGATAAATCCTAAGCTTTAGTTTGGGGGGGCGCATTTTCTCCTAGAAATGCTTTTTGAAAAGTGACCAAAATTGGACCCGACGTTGGCGATGCCGGTTATGCCGGTCGGGACAGATCGCATTATCGACGTCGCAGACGTCTCGTAGATAGATACGTAGATAGACGGAGAGATAGCTAAGTAGATAGACGGAGATAGCTAAATAGATAGATATGTCGATAAATAGACAGATAGATAGACAGGTAGATAGACAGAGAGATAGCTAAAAAGATACATAGTTTGATAAATAGATAGGTAGATAGACGGCAAGATAGCTGAATAGATGGATGGGCAGATAAATAGATAGATAGATAGGTAAATCCGCCCGCGCCGTATAAATAGATAGATAGATAGATTAAAAAAATAGACTGACAGATAGACAAATCGAAAGAATAGATAAATAGATAGATAGATAGATAGGTAGAAAGACGGAGAGATAGCTAAGTAGATAGACGGAGAGATAGCTAAATAGATAGATAGGTAGATAAATAGACAGATAGATACATAGGTAGATAGACGGAGAGATAGCTAAATAGATACATAGTTTGATAAATAGATAGATAGATAGATAGGTAGATAGACGGCGAGATAGCTGAATAGATAGCTAGATAAATAAATAGATAGATAGATAAAAAGTAGACAGATAGATAGACAAATCGAAAATAAATAGATAGATGGAGATAGATAGATAGATTAGATAGATAGATCGATCGGATCGATAGATAGATAGATAGATAGATAGATAGATAGATAGATAGGTAGATATTATGGACATCGCAGAAATCGCAAACGTCTAGGCAAACCGTGGGACACTGTACGATTGATATCGTGGATGTGTTCGGTCGTGTGCCCAGTCCGACTGGATGAGGTGAATGGTTGTGGTGTTTGATGCCCACACCATGCGCTCCGCCCACCCAGAACCATCGGATGGCCTGAATATTAACCTTTACGCCTTGAAACATAAACTTTCTCAAATGACTGCGATCTGCGCGGGCGGCTTCGACCGCGAAGCGGTGTGAATATTTATATTCCACCAAAAAGAGGGTTGCAACATGCTACTTTAGCAAAGGAAACTCTAAGTTTTCGATATTGCTTAAACGTAGCTTTGGTTCAAAACGAGGGTCAACGATTTAATGTGTTGTGTGTAGCTGGATGAGCCAAGTGAACAAGTGACTGGTTACTTCTCTTGAGAGTTCCCCCAAACATGTTGCGACACTTTTGCTTGATAGTGCCCCAAACACTCAAGCATTGTATTATGCAACTCCCAAAAGAGCACATCAACAATCACCAAATCAGCATCACTTGTGTCTTGAGACCTCTTACCTTTGGGTCTGATCGAGGTGAGACCAGTTGTGCAACCAAACCTTGTTGATCAGTGCCCATTCCAGCTTCCCCCCATCCCACGTTCTGTGCGTTACGCTTCAAACACACGGATTTCAGCGAAACCAAACTTCAGGCGGCTGGGCCACAGAATATCTTCCGAGCCTTCTTGGTTTCCACTTCTTTCTCGACCTGGATCCGTCAGTTGGGTGTCGAACACCTACCCACCTAATCGTCCACCGAACCCAAAGCCTTTTGGTCGATGCTTCTAAGCAAAGTTTCTTGGAAGTGGATTTCTACCGACCCACGCTTTGTTTGGAGAGGCCTCGAATCAAAAGAAACAACATTTGCTTCAGCTCGAGCTATTTCCAGCAAAACCAAGCTGGTTGATGTATCTGTAATTCACCCAGAGTTGATTCTTTGGTGCAGTTTCGACACTTTTTGTCCAGGAAAAGCTCCCAAGACATCCCACTTCCAACATGTTTGTGTTTCACCTTATCTACCGCTGTTGAAGATGTATATACAGGTACTGGTGAAAAAATATCCTGTATCAACAAGACGGGTCCTGCTCTCCAGTATTTTTAATTTTGAAACATGGCCACCTCTTGCTCCAAAATGACACCATTTCAGGGTTGCAACGTAGTCGTATCTGGGCAATCAAAGGCAATCAAACTACACCTACTTTGCACCCAAAGTCTAGGCTCTAGCCGTGCAAAATTGCCAAATGCGTCATCACAGGATTAAACAATCAACATATCCTGAATCCAACCACAGAAGAAAACAAAGTTCTGACAGTTCATTCATTGCTCGGGCCCATTTCCAAGTCGGTTAAAACCAAATTGAAGTTGAAATCGAAACGCCCTGTAGTAAATTCTCAGAACATTCCCTGGGAATATCAGCCACCTTTAAATCCTCTGATTGTGTTGGATAGGTTAGTAACAAGAAGCTAGTAGTAACAAGTGCATCGCTACTAGTAACAA